CACGATGCTCTCGCCAGCCATAGCTTTGAGTAAGTATTTCACATTTCTGTGCTTCAAGGCAGCCAGTCTTGGCTCGGTAGAACTGTTGCAGGACTTGGTTCAGTGTATGGATGTTGCCCTGCTCCAAGGTACCCCGCCCCCAGTGATTGCCACTCTGGCCTCCTTCCTTTCTGAAATTCTCTGTCACCCCATGGTGTGGTGGCTTATCACTCTCTAACTTTTTCCTAAAGAGCAGTTTTGTTCTGGGGCATACTCCTGGTGCTCTCATCTACTGCTTAAGACACAAGAGGCCAAGTGGCAGATGCATGACAATACCGTGACCACTTCTCTGCCACCGTCAAGGCAACTGAGCCCCAAATCAGTATTCCAGACCACCCCATATTAAACAGTGATGGCCAGTATGTCGAAAACCTCTCACATATGACTGTCGATTCTTGGCCTGTGTCCAGCTGTAACAAGCCCCAATATCTGTTTTATAAGCTCACACTTAAAGAAGAGCTAAGAATATCAGAAATATTAACAAATTTGCAACAATTATGATTAACATAATCTAAAAACTTGACTAATTATGACTGACATAATCTAAAAACAATGATGCTTCCTAAATGAAGATAACGTTAGAACTAAGGTCATGGTAGACTTGTTTTTCTCTTCACTGTGGTCAGCAATTTGTGGAGAATTGTAGACCCTGAGATTTCCTGTTTTTATAATAGCTCCCAAGTGTGCTGCTGATTCCCCCAGCAACTTGCTAATTGTTGAGAAAACAACTTATATGGAAAAGTACTATAGCTTGGTTTTCAAATTAATTATATGATACCAAGACAAGAAAAAAAAACTCTGGCAACTCAGTGTTGCCAGAGTTATGTGTGTGAATATTTTATTTGAAAACAGCCTCAAAATTGAATAATGCTTATAAATTAGTACTTGACACAAATTATAGTGATTTCTTTCTTTAACATGTGTTTATAAAACATTTGCTGTTTTACACTGTGCACTGTATTTATGGGCTGGAAATATGGTGGTAAATAAGATGTAATTGTTCTTCTCTTGGGACATAAGATAGGAAAAAAATCTGTCTACTAGAACCTTCTACAGTGATGGGAAAAGTCTGTTTCAGTGCTGTTCAGTACTGTAGCTAGTTACCATCTAAGATTATCAAATACTTCTACTGTGACTAACATGGTTGAAATGGAACTTTAGTTTTGTTTAGTTTAAACCAATTTAAAGCCACATAGCACGCATGGCTGGTGGCTACTGTATCAGGCAGCACAGTCCCAGGGTCAGACAGTGTGAGTTCAGGGATTTCCAGAACAGTCTGGTCAGTGACTTGGAGAAGGGCCCCGAAATCCTGCGGGAATGTTGAGCGTTAGACAAAGCTTTAATTAACTCAAACATTTTAAAGAGTATTTTCATTAAAACACAAGTGTTGATCAGCCACAAGTCCTACTTCAGGAAAGAGCCCTAATTTGACCCAGCTGAGTCTTGAAAGCCTTGTTACTTTACATTCTTCTCCTCGTCCTGAGGGAAAGTCGGAAAGTCACTTGGCGCAAGCTCCGAAGAGAGGAGCATAGATGGTGGCAGAATCTCTCCAGCATCCCCATGTCTTCACTCCCTGGTGTGCGTGTGCATACACTACGCGGGCATGTAAATGTGTGGTAATCTGCTCTCCACACAGAAAAGAACGCAGCCCTGGAATGCAGGAATGTCAGCAGCGTTGAGCACGATTGCATGCACTTGGCCCTCCACAGTCATTTTCTCTCTTGCCAGCTGTTCTCTGCAATTCATTCTGAATAGTTTGCATCCTCATCTGGGAGAACCAAATGGAAACCTCCAGATACCCCTAAGGTCTCTTTTGGGGATTTGAGGTACCCAGCAAGAAAGGGAGAAGTGTACTCCAACGTGTTGTTAGAAACGATGATGGAAATCCCAACCCTTCTGTTTTACCAATAATGACTCAGGAGCCAGATGCTGGTGCTAGCTCAGAGAGGCAGAGAAAGCACCCAGCTGACCTTCCTTCTCAGCTCAAGTCCAGATGGAAAAAATCCAAAAGGCTCACAAGCTCAGCTGACAGCCCAGGAGGAAAAGGCCAAAAAACCCAAGGCCAAAGGCTTGCTAGTTCAAAACCCAGAAAGCCAGGAGCTGAGGAGCTGAAGCCTAAGCTAAAGCCAGAGCTTGAGCTAAAAAGCCCCGCTTCTCCACGCTGTCTTAAATATCCCTCAACTTAAAGTCCCTCCTACTTTTTCATTCCTGTCAGCTGGTCTCTTGCTCTGACTCTTAACCTAGTGTTAACTTCATTAGATCTGGTTAAAGGTGTGTGCTAGGGCTCAACCAAACCAAACAAGCAGGGTTTTACAGTTTTACAGTTTTACAGTTCACAATTACGGAGTTCACAATGGGATCAAATATCCTGCAACACCAATGCCCTACTGAAAAGCTGTGACGTGGGGGAAGGTATGTGTTGAGAACTGTTGCCTCAGTAAATCTTTCCACATTTCTGAGCTCTGGCTTCTTCCTCAGCCAGACTAAAGAGCCATACCAGACTCAGGCTTGTTCTAGTTTCCTTTCTGTTGCTGTGATTAAAAAAAGGAACAAAACTCTTTGACCAAAGCAAATTAGGGGAGCAAATGGTTTATTTTGGCATGCAGGTTACAGTCCATCTTTGGGAAACGTCTGGGCAGTGACTCAGCAGAAACTGTGGAGGAATGACTCCTTGCTGGCTCGCACACAAGTGCATTCTTCCTTCCACAGCCCAGGACCATCTGCCTGGGGAATGGTGCTGCCAACAGTGGGCAGGGCCCTCCCACATCAATGAACAACTAAGATAATCCCCTGAAGACATACGTTAGACCAGTTTAATCCCTCAAATGAGACTCCCTTCTTAGGGGACACTAAGCTATGTCAAGTCAAGCTAAACTAGACACGGCCAAAGATGAGATAGTGAAGCATGACTCCAAGTCATTCTTATTTTTTCCTTTAAGTAGATCCAGGAGAGGGCTATCTTTCCTAGGGCCAGTAGAGCCAGGCTCTTTGCAGCTTCATCCATGGTCAGCTACTTGGAATGGAACCAATACAAACACCAATAAAAGAAAACACAACTGGGTTTTTGCTGTGCATGAGTCCATGGGTTGTTGTCGAATTACTAATATTTAATATTGATTTGTATAATTATTAAGGCATATATAAAAGAATTAATTATTCTATTAATATTAATTAAATCTGGTTATTAATAGAGTGGCAGTTATTCCTTAACCCACTACTTTATCAATAAAAAACACAGAAACTTGTTAGCTTTACTATAAGCCTTAAAACTCTGGAGCTGGTCAGATATTAACCTCCTAAGCTATCTTGTCTACTTTCCACCTCAAAGCCCCATAAATACTTGCACATGTTCCATTTGGCTGCTTCTACTCCATCAGGCCAGTCCTCAGAGCAAGCTGTCCTTGGCCAAATTCTCCTGGTTATGCTAACCCATGGTAGCCTGCTTTCTTCCTCCTACCTCCCTCCTCCTCATGGTCCTCCTACCACCCCACAAGCCTGTGAACCTTTGCTCTGCCTCCCTCTCTACTCCCCAGTCCAGGCTGTAGACGACTTTATTAGCCATTCAGGGATAATTTGGGAGGTAAGGTTCACACATCATGTGGCTATGTGAGAAACTGCTCACTGGACAAGAAGGATCTTGGGGAGGAATCAGTTAACATTTGAATGATCAGTAGCTTCAGATCAGCCCCACCAATGGGTAACAGAGAGTGTAGGAATGGTGCAATTCACTTAGGTGAAACCATGTAACACAAGTTTGTACCTTTGTCAGGCCTGGCCTGATGGCTTTTCCAACCACCTGTAAGCAGGTTCTTGGGTTGGACTCTCATCTGGATGACAGAAAAGGAAAGTGTCTCCATTCCTATGCCTGGAGTTTTCCTGTGGTCACTGCTCAGAAAGAACTGACACTGAGCCATGGGGCCGTAGCTGCTTCCAGCTCTAGGGAAGGGAAGGCACAGAGAATGTGAGGACCTAAACTCTGAGGACCAGCACAGAGAATGGTGAAGTGGCGGGTCCCCTGTCTACCGCAGCCACCAGCAGCACAGACCTGGGCCCAGTCAGGTGCATGCACACATGCACGAAAACCTCAGAAATACATTTTACAAAACAAACCATGCATTACCAGTGTTAATAAGGAACTGTTAACAGTACCAGAACGAGGGGATCATTCTACATACAAAGGAACACAGATAAGGATCACAGCACATTTCTCTTAGAAACCAGGCCCTGCTTATGTTCTCCAAAAGGAAGCAAGGGGAGAAGCTGAGTGTTTTCCTTAGAACCCAGCTCACCACTGGCAGGCAGGGTGATGATCATTGCCTTCCTCACTGCTGCTGAAAACTAGATTCTCTCCTCAGGAAGCGCACATTCTACACCCTCCTGCAGATGCTCAGGCCTCTCCATCAATGCCCTAGGATGATACACCACGGAGCTGTGTTTTCCAGTCAAATCCCCTGGGAGAATATTTGGATGCAGAGTCCAGGCTCCTACCCCGGAACTGCCACATTGGAATTTGGGGTTTGGAGTCTGCCCTGCAGCTTCCTTTTGAGAGTCAACATTTTGAACAGGAGAAGCAGACAGAGTGCAGAACCCCTCATCATTCTGTGGGAGGAGGCAAGTTCTGGGGTTGGGGGAGGGGACAGGCTGGCATCCTGGGAAGGACAAACTGTCCTCCTGCCCTGTGTTCCTGTCCCAGCACTGCTGTGAGCTGGGTGGATGGTCCCGGATGGTTGATGACTCCTACCAGACTCCTCCTTGCCGCCTGAGGGCACAGAGGGACCAGGGGGCATTTGGATCTCAGAGCCCATGAATCCACCCCCACAGTGGGCTTCGAGCTGTTTTTACCTGGATCGTTATTTCCTCACTGAAGTGGCTTGTTTCTTATTTATGATACTTGAGATAGTCATGCATACCCCTTTATTCATGTTTTATGCATTATTCACATATACAAACAACTTTATACCAGAAATAATCTAGATAACAGAAAAGGAAAAGTTATTGAATGTCTCCTCTGCAAGCCAAAGGTCTTCACTAATATAAACACACATACAAGGCAGAAATCAGGGAATTTTCTTTGTAAAGCTGGTTTTATATGTGTAGCTCTGTCCCTTGACAGCTACAGAACTCAATTTCAAAGCCTTCATCTCTTCCACATGAAAGGACAGCCTGCTAGGACATATTTCCTGAGCCTTCCTTTGTGCCAGCATCCCCAAGTCAATCAGTGTTCAGCTCAGTTCTGCTTTCCTGATTATGAGAGGCCTTTGATTCTTTTGGCTTGGCAGGATTAATTTGGCAATAAACCAATCAATCAAGAATGTCCAAACATAGTTTGCTATTTGTTTTTACAGCAAACAGATCTTGGCTGGATATAGTGCTAAACTTCCTCAGCTTCCAAAATAGTTCTTAAAGCAGGTGTACTTGAGACAGAGGGTACCCAGCCTGGCCTGGTGGGCTGCTGAGTCACAAGCAAGTGTCTGGGAGGGCTGCTGCAGGTTTGTGTCTTTCATGTCTCTCTGCAGTGAGTAGTTCAACCCAGATATTCCTAACAGAGAGTGACCGTGTGGACTGCGACCTCAGAAAGCACACATTGCTATTAGTTAGAACAGGGACTTGCTCAGGCTATGTCTGCTGTGTCTCAGGCAAAGTCCCTGATGATAAGGCCTTCCACTTTAACTCTGTTCCTTAGTCATTATCCCAAATGACCTTCTCAATGCAACAGCCAAAGAAGGGCCAGTGACACCCCCCCCACAACACACACACACACTGTTAAGACAGTACAATGACTCAAAGAAGGATGCTGTCTTTTCTCCAGTCAAAGGGCCATGCATGGTCCAGGGCTTCACCTTCTGCTGCCAGAGTCTGAGGCAGCCTACTCTCCAGTAGCTTCTTCCTTCTGGCTCTTTTTGATGGCCGGACTCCTCTTTGGTGTCCTTTGCAGTCCTGGCAAATCCTCTTGGACAGACTTGGCCAAATGGTGTTTTAAGGAGCATGCACAGGTAGAGGCATGGAGCCTCTCTGAATTTGGAATTCTGCCGATGGAGAGTTTCACTTTCTAAGACAAAAAATGCAGGAGATAGTTAGACTGCTAAAGAGTATCCTTAGAGTGTCCAGCTCTCAACCAGTCATCTTTCATTCCTCACTCAATTCGTTCTTGCAGGAAATCCTGCGGTGAGCTATGGTGAGCCAAAGGTAGCACAGATGATCTGTATGGCCAACTAGACCATGGACTTTCATTCTCTGACTTTTGCTGGCGTAGGCCTCTAGGCAGGTTCTAAAAACAGTGCTGATGGCTCACTGTGCTGCTATTGTTATGTTAGCTTGACACAGTTAGAATTATTTTGGAAGAGGGAAACTCACTTAGAAAATGGCCCTACTATATTGGCCTATGGCTGCATTTTCTTGATTGATAATGGATGTGAGAGAGCCAGCCTCACTGTGAGCAATGCCATGGCCGGGCTAGTGGCCCTGGGTGCTCTAGGAAAGTGAATGAGTAAACTATTAGGTGCAGCTTTGCAACCAGCACTCCTCCATGGCCTCTGATTCATTTCCTTCCTTGAGTTTCCCACCCTAACTTCCTTTCGTGATGGACTGTGGTATGGAAGTATAAGGGAAATAAACTCTTCCCACCCCAAGTAGCTTTTGGCCATAGCGTTTTATTAAAGAACCAATCTATACCTATATCTAAGTAAGATAACCACAGAGGGACCCAGTTGCTCCAAGAACTCAAAGGGCCTCTGGAATCCTGTGCATCCAAAAGAGACCGCAATCCAGGAAAACCCAGGACAAAAGCAGGAGGAAACACACACTGTCTCCTCTGCCTCTAAAAAGCTGTCACCTGTCCTCTCACTGCCTCTAGCCCATCCTGGTGACAGCCTTCTGCCTCTCTCCACTGTGGTCTGAGTAGATGTGGTTGGCTCAGGCGTGCTTGCCACAAGAGAAGCTGTTGCTCCCACATGTCCTTTCCCAACCTCCTTTTCCTTCCAAGAACCAGGTGTTCAAATTTTAAAAGAGAGTTGGCTATCTACTTGCACACAGAAGAAAGGTCAGGAGCAATAGGGAGGAAGGACAATTTTCTGATCCACAAGATCAGTGGGTCTCAACCTTCCCAGTGCCGCCACCCTTCAATACAGTTCCTCATGCTATAGTGACCCCTCAACCCAAAATGATTTTTGTTGCAACTCCATACTGTAATTTTGCTGCTGTTATGAATCATAGTATAAACATCATCTGTATACTACCCTGTGAAGGTGTCGTTTGACCTGCCAAAGGGGTTATGGCCCCCAGGTTGAGAACCACTGCCTAGTGAGACCCACTGCTCGAGACAGTGATGTTGGTCAGCTCTGTGGAAGAGTTGTTCTCAGCTGGAGTGAGGAAGAAAGAGCACAGAGAGGTGCGGTCTACAGGGTAGTCAGGACGAGGCATGTGCAGCCATGCCCAGGCAGAGGTCTAGTGTGAGTCTGCTCAAAGCCACTTTTCCTGATTGCTAAACACATGTCTGGATCTTTGGGTCAGAGAATGTTCAGTAACTTCTGGAAGGTGCACATAGTTTTCTTAACCCTCTGGCCACAGCGTGGACCATGGGCAGATGCCATGGAGTATAAGTTACCAGGCTAGTGGACCAAGACCCTGAAACCAACCTCTTTCTACCACACAAACTTGTATCAAGCATTGAACTCGCATTGAACTCATAAGCCAAACATCACGTCTTGCGAGAAACCCTCCTGGCCTCCCGAGGAAGGTCAGTCTCTTCCCCCTCTGCACTTTCTGTTCACATTTCAAAGCACACACTATACTCCAAGAAGTGCCTATGGTATTTGTTTCCACCCACTAGACCAAGAGCTACTTTAGTGCAAGCTGGGGCCACTTCTGTAGCCTTAGAACACAACGGCATCCAGTGTAGGGTAGACAGATGTTCAGTAAATGGCGAGGAAGCACGGAATGAATGGATCCTAGCCCTCCCAGTAAATAGTTTCATGTCTATGCCTGACCGGTCTTACCCTTTTAGAAATAGCAATAATAACAGTTTATCCAACTGGCAGGTTTGAGTGATAAAGAAGAGACAGGCATGTCCTTAAAATAATACATAACCATAGACTCCTAGAGCCTGAACATGGGTTTGTACTATTGTAGTTTGCAGAAATTTCAAGCCAAGGCTCCATGTTTTCAAAGAATGCTGAGTAGATCCATATTTTGGGTGTATCTGTTTATTAAAAGATAAATGTGAATGTCCCTAATTGAAGCCAGGAATGTTGAGCCCTTCCCCCCCTTCCCCCTAGTCACATCCGTAGATCCAAGGGATGCAGCTTGGAAATTGTAGGAATGAATGAATGAATGAATGAATGAATGAATGAATGAATCCTTGCTCTGCTCCTCACTTTAGAGAGAAGCTAAAGGCAGAGAAGGCAGAAACCGTCCAAAGGTTAGAAATCAAAATAGGCTAAGGGATGAACAGCATAAGGCTGTACTAGCCAGTGAGACATCTAAATGTAGACTAGCATTTTGACCTACATATCATGTTACATTTTAATGATAACTCCGTGCAGAAGGCTTGGCAACCTCAGGTTTTAGATGAAAAAGCTGACACTCAGAAAGGGAGCCTGTGCAGGTCAAACTAACATCATTGTGACTGTGTAGAGCACACAATCTTTACCAGGGTGCTGCAAGTGTGCCACAGCATGGCACACCGCTCACCTCATCAGCAAGCGCTGCAGTCAAGACTGCTCACAGGGGCTTGCTGCAGTTCTGAGCTAGTCTGAGCCCACGGAGCGCTGCTGGCCCTGCCGCAGTGTTTGCGGCCGGAAGCCCAGAGCCCTCTCTCCTGTCCCAGGGCTCTCCCCAGAATACTTGATCATTCTCATTCCGAGCAGGTCTCAGACTCCGCCTTAGTGAGACCTGGGTCTTGTCTCCCCTGGCACTGATCTGGCCTGGCCAGGGCTGGTCCATAACACTCACCTCCTTCCGGATACACCGAGTAAGAAACAAGGACACCTCCTCCAGGCTGTGGGGCTTCAGGTCATTCACGGCCAACACATGATCTCCATAGCAGAATAAGCAGCCTAGTCGGGGAGGACCTTCCCACCGAGCCACACTGCAGTGGGAAAACAGTATTTAACAGGAAAGTGAGACAGAGCTCATCAGAGACACGGGGATGGGGGTACAGGATCACCTCACTCGGCACTGAGTTGTCCCACACTGGAAGCCAACCATCCTCTTTTTCTGTCTGGACAAACTTCCTCCCTTCCTTGCTTCACTCTCAAGCCCTGCTCCTCGCAACCCCCCCTTGGAGGCCCTGCCGAGCCCAGGCCCTTCCTTGCTTTGCTTTCCCAGGACTTATAATTATGTACGGTGGGAACACTTTAATTGTAGTTTTGAATAAGATGTAATTTTTATATTTACTTATTCATGTGGCTATTCTTTTTTGCCCGGCTTTGTGCCCCTGGGAATACAAATCTACCTTTTTGTTTCCTTAGTTGGTATTTAAAATTTTATAACTCCACCGTTCCAAGAAAACAGAACGCTCAATAAATGTCTGACAGAAGAGAGCGCACAGCATAATGAATAGCTAATGAGTACATAAATGAATGGACAGATGTGCGAGCTTGCTCATAAACTCATGGGCTGAGCAGGTATTTACAAGTCTTAGATTGCAAAAATTTTGGAAAAATGGGAAGTTATGGCATTGTGGCATTTTTTTTTATATTAAAGAATTATCTTGTAAAAATTCAATTTTCCAGGGCTGGGGAGATGATTCAGAGGTTAATAGCACTGGCTGCTCTTCCAGAGGACCTGGGTTCAATTCCTAGAACCTATCTACAACTGTCTGCAAGTCCAGTTCCAGGGGTCCATGGCACCAGACATGCATGTAGTTGCATATATGTATACGCAGGCAAATACCCACACACACAAAATAAGATAAGTCTTTCAATCTTCCACCAAGATGAACTAAACAGGCTTGTTTATTTGGGGATGGGAGGGAAGGGTCTCACTATCTAGCTGAGGCTGGCCTTGAGCCTGCTATGAAGCTCAGGTTGGCCTTGAACTCTTAGCCTAGGGTGCTAAGATTACTGGCCAGTGCCACCGTGCCCAGTCAAGTCTAAAAAGATATAGAATCAGATAAATAGTAATTATGTTTAAAAATATCTGCCATGAGGACCTCCGTGTTAGGGTTTTGGAATAGAGGTTTTGGAGTAGTGGGGATCTTAGGCCTCATATACATCTTTTTCTACTAGATCTTATTAAACTTGCTCTCTTTCCAGTCACTAAACACTCACTCTGCAGCACCTGGGATAGCACCTTTGATATCTATTCTCCTTTGAAGAATGAAAAACGTCCAGTTCCTGGGCCTTTTGGCCATCTTACATCCACCCCCTCAAAAGCTGGCCTCCCATACAGCAGTGGTCTTTTTGCCTCCAGGTCCTCTCTGTGGCCAAACTCTAGTCCGAGTCTCCCGCCATTTTTGTAGAATGTGGTGTTTCACAGTCAGGGCCCCCTTGCTTGACCCCTGTTCATTCCACTTCCACCTACCATATCCGCCCTGCTGCTTCTACCAGGGCAAGATAGTTGATGGTGTCCAGCGGTGAGAGGAACACGTCCAGAGTCTGCACTTGGCTCTCGTCAGGGATGTTGCTGAGAGAGAGAACACTTGCTATACATCACATGAAACAGCCACTGTCCCTGTCTCTGAGCTCTACTTTCAGAGTATATTTTTGGCCTTCTGACTCTGAGATGGCATTTTTCAGCTAAAGTCGGCCAAAACACATGATGAAAGAAGTATGAATTTAAGGTACTAAAAATCATTGTATCCTTCCTGCCCCTCTCGAGGTGCAGTAGTGGATGGCAGGCAATGAGGAGGGAGGGAAAACTTGACTAAAAGGGTTTATAACCATCTCCTTCAGGTCAGTTAGCACATTTGTCTTCTGGAAATTATTCCATACAAAAATGCATGTAGAGTAGCTAAAATTACAACTATCCTGCCGAGCTCTTAACATGACCTAAACTTTCCCCTCCACATCTCCTCAGAACCTCAGGAGACTTGCCTGCCCATAAGAGGCTAACAGGAGAGGCTGTGACACACTAGCCACATCGGTGTGGTCCAGGTTCCAGGGCCCAAAAGACTGGCCAAAGGGGAAAACGTCACAGGGTTGGGGATGCCAGCCCCACCCCCCGGGGCCACTTTTCTTCTGCCTGTCATCTGGTGCCTGATGGTCACAACACCCTGACATAGAAGCCGGTCAGATTCCTGGCTGACTTGGAAACTTTAAAGAACTATTTTGAAATTTGAATATTAAGTGCATTTAAGGCATCTGCCTTGTGCTTAGGTCCCACAAAGTTTTAGAAATGAGAGCTTTACTTGAGTAAGATAGACAATTTCACAACAGTTAGCGAGGTGGACCCCTTTTTGTCATCTGTGCTTTGAGCTTCTGGGTCGGCAGGTGAAAGACACGGATCACTTCCTGTGCCATGTTCTTGTAGTGGAGTCTCTGGAGAAATCTGGGGTTTGGCTGGGCAGTCAACAGAGGTTGATTCTTTGAGGAAACTGGAGTATAAAAAGTTAAGCAAGGCCTTCTGTTTAGGCACATGATTGACAGCTGTCAAACATAAGCATCTAACAGCCTACCAGAGGACTACCAAAGTCTTGAAGTATTGAAGTATATTCAGCCACCGGAACCCACCACAGGGAGAGCGAAACTGAACATGCTTCCTTTCTAAAAATGGACCTGGAATCAAAATAACCATTTACAGGGTCATGGGACACAGTGAGAGTGTGCGAGAAATAAAAGTGAAAGCCAGAAGACTTCAGCAGACTGAAATGTCCTGACGGTGTCACAGGAGCTCTGTGGGTGGAAAAACTGGTGCCATGTTTCCTTCTCTTAAGTCGGCAGCTTCAACACCCTTTAGCTGAGCATCTAAAATCTGAAATCTGAAATGCTGAGTGGCAATATGATTACTATAAGTGGGGGAAAATGGGGAACTCTACACCGTCAAACATTCCTTTATGAACAAAGTTATTTGAAAACATTTTTCATGAGATTATCATTAGGTTTCTATACAGTACATATGAAAATATGAAGCTTGCATTATTTCATTTTTGGATGAATTCTAGTCCCTAAGACAGCTCATTATGGATATTCAGATATTCCAAAAGCTAAAAGAAATATTCTGAAACCCCAAACATTTATAATCCTATACATTTCAAACAAAGGGTATCCAGCGTGTACCAATTGATGTATAGTATGTAGTCTTTGGTGATGCAACAGTTAAAAAATGAACTTGGGCTAGAGAGAGGACTCAGTGGCTAAGTGTGTGCCATGTAAGCAGTAGGGCCTCAGGGAGGTTGGCGTGGTAGCACACTTCTGCAGTGCTTCTGAGGTGAGATGGGTGGTGGAGGCTCCCGAGAAGCTCACGGACGGGCTCACCTGCTGTATGCCATGGCAGGTGACGAGAGATTGTAACTCAAACAAAGCAGAAGGCGAGGACCAACGCCGGAGGTGTCCTCTGATCCCACATCTGCTCTGTGGCACACGTCCAACCCTTCTCTCTCTCACACACACATACATATACCATTCACACATACATACACCATCACACACATACATCATTCACACACCCCCCTCACACAAAGGTTAACACGGTGAATTGGTGGTAATTGTTCCATTAAAAGCAGGTTAGCTACAAGTAGCGTTTAAAAAAGGCAGTTACACTCACCAGGATCTCATTGACATGTAATTGCTCTCAGCTTTCTTGGAACCTTGGTCTGGATTGTTGGATTCGATGGAGTCACCAGAATCATTGGAACCAGCAACGTTCTCTAACTAAAGACGGGAGGTAGCCATGTGAGGGTGCAGGTCTGCCGCTGGCCGGCCTCCTCACCTGGCCTCGCGCTGGCTCTGGGATAACACACCTCCCGCTGCAGAGAGTACCTACCGGCCTTCACCCCAGGAGAGCAAACCACCACAGATTCTGACAGACTCAAAGTCTGCTTACCCTTCCGGGAGCCCTCATGCCCCATTCCAGACACATGTATTCTACTGGGAAGCTTAGACTCCCCCTTCTGCTTCATTCCCCAGGTCGTTGATTATATGAATCTTGGAAGCTGACTGGGCCAGAGACTAAGCACAGTGGTGGCTCGCAACCATGGACACTTCGTGTGTCGTTGCTGCTGGCTTCTGACTGGAGCCTGCCTTCCAGTCAAGCCAGTCTTCTGCTCAGCTGTCTCCTCGACCCTCGTCATCTGGGATTCTCTTCTCCTGCCCAGTGAAGTCCTGTTCATTCACCCCACATTCCCAGATCAGCCCTCCTGGAAACATTTGTACAGTTTCACCTACTTCCCAGACACCATATTCCACAGTGCCTACAGCCTACCCTTACCACACACCTGACTGGCTGGTTGGCCTGGAGAACACTAGTGTGGAAGTAGTTTTTGGTGAGAGAAGTATCCCGTGCTTATGAAACACTGGGGGCAATGTATTGTGCTATCCACTTGGCTACCTATAATTCAGGACAGAGTACCAATGGCCCTGAGAATTTTGCTGTGATGTATGGTGTGCTTAAACCATTTGTGATTTAGCATGTCCATAACCAACCTGACCCCAGAATGTGTCTTTAAGTGAACATGTCACTACCTGGTAGGAAACCTCCAGTTTCAGAGATGATGCAACTCTGCAACCACCCCCCATCCTCCTTCACTCCCTCCACTCCATCCTCCTGTCTCTCCCTCCATTCCACCATTCCATCCTCCTGTCTCTCCCTCCACTCCACCATTCCATCCTCCTGTCTCTCCCTCCATTCCACCATTTCATCCTCCTTCACTCCCTCCATTCCACCATTCCATCCTCCTGTCTCTCCCTCTATTCCACCATTCCATCCTCCTGTCTCTCCCTCCATTCCACCATTTCATCCTCCTTCACTCCCTCCATTCCACCATTCCATCCTCCTGTCTCTCCCTCCATTCCACATTCTGTATCCATGTCTACCACAGACACAGCTTCTTGACCAGTGTGCCTAGAAGCCAATTCACATTTCACCACTTTCCTGCTTAGGCCCTTTGCTTCTGTGCTGCCCACAGAAGAGAGTCAACGTGGCATTCAGTGCCCATCATAGGCTGGCTCTTTGCTCCATTAATTTCCGACTGTGCCATTCTCATGCAATGAACTGTGGCCTCAGACATGGCAATACCAGTGGTCTCTGAAGCCTGCTTTGACTCAGGTGGAAAGAGAAAGCCACGCTATATCTGATAGCTCCAGATGGCTCTGTGCCTCTCTGGGTAGTGTTCAGCGTTGGTAAACTGAGGCTGTGAGCTCTGAAAGCAATAGGAACGTGAGGCTCATCGGCAGAGCCACTGTGGTGAGCACAGTGCAGCCTCCAGCACTTGGAAGGGCTTCTAGTTATCAACAGGCTGTCCACATGCACCCACAGCTCATCACCCAAGACTGTCACTCTTTTTCCTTTCAGGCCAGGAAATAGGAAGATGACTAAACTCCAAATGTTATTCTCCAAGTACTCAACTATCATCTCCTCTGAGAACCTTCTCTGGTCTTCTTCCTGGAAACCAGCTCCCTCTCCCACCACTGGCACAAACCAGTCACCATACAAGCACAGGTCTTGTGCTATGGTTGGCTCCTATTCAAGAACCGGCACAGGAGCAAGCCCTCTGTTTCTGCCAGCTTTACCTTCCTGCCCTCCTGATCTCAGCCTGTTGTCTCAGCAGCAGGTGTGGCTGCCCTCCTGATCTCAGTCTGTTGTCTCAGCAGCAGGTGTGGCGGAGGCTCAGGATATGCCCTTGCTGAAGGAATGAGTGATGGGGGGGGGCGCTTACTTCTGAAAGGATGCTTCCAGGGGTGAGGTAATAACCCTCCTCTTCAGGCTCCTGAGGGGGTTCTTGGTGTTCCTGATGAGTCTGAGCTTGCTGGAGTTCTCGGAGCCTTTTTTGGATTAAATGCTGAACAAGAAAGAAGCAGATGTAATTACTGAGTTCCTTCTTTTCTCCCCATGCCTCATTTTCAAAAGAATTTAACAAATACTTTCTAGAAAAAGTATAATAGATTACTTGGGTTGACAAGATCAGAGGCCATTTCAGTATGACGTGCAGAAACCTACGCAACCTGAACTTGCATCTTGAATTTGGGTCCCTCTGATGGTGTGAATATATATGTACAGCTAACATTCGAATTTTTCCTTTGCTGTGGAGACTTACAACTCAGAACAAGAAGTTTTCTACCACGGGTGATGGTGTAAGTCACAGAGCTTTGTCGTCATGTCCCTACTCTCATCTCTTTCAAGTCCTCTCTCAGCGGCCTCTGAGAAAGCATCTAGCCTGGAATTTCAGAACCTCCTTCTCTGGCTCAGGACTCCTCTTTTGTGTTTTGTTCACAGCCTTGTCTGTTTCCACAGAAGTGCAATTAGGTAGTGTTGGTTATGTGACAGTATGAATTATAGGCTTTAAGGTGATGTAGATGTAAGCAATTAATTATTGCCTTCTCTCCCCTAACAGATAGCAGATAGTCTACTGATGTGGCTGCTTTGCATGGCATAAGAATTGAGTGCGATTTAATTATTCCAAGAACAATGTCAGATGGCAGGGGACCTTCTTAAGACCCTGAATGTTTGCTAGGAATTCCATGGAAGTTAGCTCTGCTCTCTCTCTCTCTGTGTGTGCCTGTGTGTGTATGAGAGAGAGAGAGAGAGAGAGAGAGAGCGCACCATGACTTGTGATGGTTCACCTTTCAGGTTTTTCCTCTCATAAAGGAGTGCAAAAGCAAGATGCATTCACTAGAAGCGGTATTTCAGATTTTGACTGCTGGCCTTGTGTGAGCTACCAATGTGGGTATGACAACTTTCTTGTAAGTCTGGTGGTGTCTGTGAGCCACAGCTCCTGGAGAGCCTTGCAATTATGGGGAAACAGCGAACACTGCACGGTGTGCTGTGTTGCTAGGCTGTTATGTCCAACAAGGCAGGTGTGTTCAATGCACTGTCTGCTCACGCTGTTTTCCATTTTTATGGGAGTGTCAGGATATGAACCTACTGAGATGTCCAAAAGCATCTGTATATATGCAAGCAAGTCCATTGTTCTAGCTTGAAGTTCATTGCTGTTTATGAGCATCCCATTTGAAACCCATATTGAAATTTAAGTCCCATTGAAATGCTAGTAACGGGTACAGCTTTTAAAGACAGTCGGGCCATGGTGGCTAGGCCTTCCTGTGCTCCTGAATGCCATGTATGACTTCACCCTGACTGCCCCCTGCCTTGCTTGTCTGTCTGTCACTTGATACCTTCCCCCAGGTGAGTCTCCCGGTCTTTAATGTCACAGCCTTCAGAGCCGTGGGAGCTATGTTACTGCTGTTAGAACCCCCCCAATACATGGTGTTCTGTTGTGGTTGCTGAAGATGGACAATGGAGCCAGATTATGCTGAGGTGGGAGTGAAGGTCCCTGATGTTCCAGCAAAACCCAGCAGGACAAATGGTGTCTCTAACTTGAGATGATTAAAAAGAAAATATCACTGGATCTCACAAATGACAGAAAAAAGACAAAGGCCACCCTAAGGCTCCTCTGGGAGAAAGTGGTGCATCGCGGATAGAAGCAAGAGACACTTGCTCAGGGCCTGTCTCCTTGTCTGGTGCACATCACTGGGTTTGCTCAGTGAAGGGCTGAGATTCTGAAAAAGCTTCCAAAATACTGGAGGGCTACCAGCTACATAAGGTGGGAGGCCTTGCCTCATGGCTGTAGAGTCCACAGAGGGAAGGACACCAGGGCAGTGTCTCTAAGGGATAAAGTAACAGATGTGCAGGGGAACAAACTGCCTGGCGTGCTCGTTGAGAGGAGCCAAAGCTAGGGCGACAGCAAATCCAGAAAGAGGAGGGCCCACTTCTGTGGCCCTCCGGGGCAGGCGTGCCATTTCACTTCCTCAACCAGATTGCGTTAGGAGGTAAGAGGACAGGGTACACCAAATGAGAAGCAAAATAATGTGATGAGTGGAGGGAAGGAGTAAGAGACTCCGCCTTGCCTGAGGGTGTGCACAGCACAGTGGGAAATCTAGGGGTGCTGGGGAACCTTTGTGCCCTGAGTGTGGACAGAGGGGAAGGGCTGCTGGCCAAGCTTAGTGAAGGAGCCCAGCCTGTCAAGAGCATCCAAGAGGAGTGAAATCTCCAGAGCCAGCTAGGCAAGTGGTGACACCTACCTGTAGAACAATGGGAAATGAGCAAATTCACATAAATATTAAGACCAGGCATCTTTCTGTGTGTGTGTGTTCCTGTGTGCATGTGTGTGTGTGTGTGCATGTGCATGCATGCATGTGAAGGTCAGAGGACAACCTCAGGTGTTCCTCAGAAGCATCTACCTTCTGTCCCCCCCCCCCACACACACTGGTCTGGAGCTCACCACATAGGTTAGGCTGAGGGGCCAGTGGACCCCGAGGACACACCTGCTTTTGCTCCTTAGCACTAGGTTATAACTGTGCATAACCACGTGAGTCCTGGGGACTCAAAGTCAGGTCCTTGTGCTTAGGAGGATAGCAGACAGCAGATAGCTGTCTGCTGAGCCCCAGGGGGCATTCTCTCAGTGCATTTGACCTTGATGGGCAAGGTCACTGTGAGCTGCTAGCCAGTGCGACACTTCAGCAATGGCTGGGTCCCTGGCCACCAGGGACTACTAGCGGCGCTGACTCCCTGCTGCAGCATCCTGAGACAGAAGGAAGAGACTTTGATTACCGCGTCTGGAAGACTGGCCCTCGGTGGTGCAAGGCTGATAACCTCTGACCCACTGCGGAGACTGAAGAAAGGACTGGGGTCAGAGACTGGCCTTCTGTCACCCGGGGGAGGATTCTCCTGCTTGGGAAAAAGTCGTTTTGCAATTAGAGTGAGCCTGCTCTCCCATTCTGCCAGGACCCCCCACCCCGCTGCCTCTACCGTAACCTGGCCTTCCTGTCTCCAGGCTCTCCCCAAGGCGTTGACACCCGGCTGCCCACTAGCCACTGCCACATCACCAAGACAAGGGCTGATCTTGTCAGCGAGGCTTTCTCCAGCTCCCAGGCCCCCGAAAGACACGCGCCTGGCCTTGACAGGCACCCTGAGTTCCCACCAGTCTCTGCTCTCTGCTTTCCTCACTGAATCTGCCTTGCTCTCTCCTTGGTGGCATTTGCTACGGGCATGGAACAACCTGGAAAATACATCCATCAACACACCTCTGCTCAAGCTCCCTCTCTAGGAAAGGCCTGGGGAAACTCACAAAGCCGCTTCTGCAGTCCATTAAAACCTTCATCTTCTTACCTGACACAAGACACATTATGCTAAAATGCAAGGCAGATGAAAACAATGTTTGGTAGACGCCTCCCTAGACTTAGCCATTCAAAGGGAAGCTGGTATGTGCCTAGAATCACAGTGGAAAATAGTATACTTTGAGTGACTATGAAAACCTGTCACCATTAACTTTCACTCCCCTACCACAACAATAACAATCTAATTTAGCTCTCTTGCAAAACACAAAAGTATTTTCTCCTATTGTGAATCGCAAAAATAACAAGGGCATATGTTTCCTAGCTTATTTATTCCTTGTATTAACTCCAGTTGCTAAGGAGACATGAAGAGGTACTATTGTTTCCAAGGAAAGAGGGCCATTTTCGGGCGCCTTGAATGTCATTAGCCATGTGACGTTACCTCTGTATACTGATGGGTTGCTTTTACGCCCCGGCAATATGGTGTCATGCAGGAGACCCAGTCTTTAATCTTCTCCCTGGGGGTAGGAGGAGAGTTTCAGCTGCCATTGGCACCCACAGCTCCCACACCCACCCTGAGCCCGCAGCAGTCGTTGATTACACTAGGAATCAGCTGCCGACAAAAAACAAAAAACAAGAAACCCCTCTTTTCGTGGGTAGCTGAAATGGCCTGCTCCCTTGCCATCTCCACAGCTGCATCAGCCTGGTGACACCTCCAGTAGGGTAACTCAGAGAAATGGGGAGTCAGGGAGAGCAGCCACGAGGATGGGACACAGGGCTTCTGCAGTGAACACCCTACCCCGCCCAGCCCGACTCCTGGGTTCCGTCCTCCCTGCCACGCTTAGGAAATGCAGTCTTAGGAAGGGTGATGTGCCAGGAGCCTCAGTTGAGGAAATCCTCCCTCAGACTGGCCTGCAAGCAGGTGTGTGTGGGATTTTCTTGATTATGGATCTGTGTAGTAGGGCGCAGCCTACTGTGAGCTGTGCCAGCCCTGGGCAGGTGGGCCTAGGTGCTGGAAGAAAGCCAAGATGAGCAAACCCGTGAACAGCACTCCCCCATGGCCTCTGCATCAGTTCCTTCTCCAGCTTCCTGACTCAGTTTCCTACTTTGACTTCCCTCGATGATGGGCTGTAATTAAGACATGTAAATTACACAAAGCCCTAGGGAGTAGCTTTTTGTCACCGTTTTATGTGGCAAATAGAAAAGTAGACAGAGACAGGTGTGTCTGAATGAATTGATCAACTCCCCATCTTCTTTTCTGTTGTCTTAGTGACAAGTTAAAAGAAGACTGTGCAGCTGGATCAGGCTGAAACATAGTAAGGCTTCAGCATGTGGCCAGCTCCCACCTCAGTCCCCGTCCAGCAGGCTGTGAGAATGCACTTGAGCACCTCTGCCAGACCCAGGTGCCCCGGTAAAACCGCAGATGCCTTCAGGGCGAGAACAGCCCTCCCCAGTAGGGGCAGCTCCTATAGGTATTTTTGGCTGTGTTGTTTTTTCCCAGAAGGCACTGGGTGACAGCTACTGATGTGGCTTGCTTTGTGCCCCTCCCCTCATCCAGTTCTCAGGCCCCAGATGTCACCACTACAGAAGTAAGTGGTTAAGTAGGGATCATAATTGCTGTACCTCCTAAGCTAGTAAGAATGGTATCTGTGAAAAAAGGGTAAATTTGACCCAGAGATTCGTGCATGCGGGAAGCGCCATGTGAAAGCTAGGGTTTGGCAGCCTCAGCCAAGGGACTGCCGGAAGTTCTGGCAGAGGCTTGAGACAGAGTCTTCCTTCCACCGTGCTTCATGGGAGTGTGGACTGAGCCCTGACTCTCAGCCTTCAGAGCAGCAAGCTTGCAACCTCTGCTGTTTGAAGCAGTTATAACACTCCTAGGCAGCTGGTACAATGATTCTTGAAACGCTCTTTAAAAGCTGGGGAGATAGCTTAGAAGTTGTTTGCTATGCAAACGTGAGGGTCTGAATTTAATCCCTGGCACCTACAGAAAAGCTGGGCATGGTGGAGTGCTGGCAATGCCAGCTGGGGAGGCAGAGACAGGTAGGTTCCTGCAGCTTTCAGCCCAGCCAGCCTAGCCTAAGCCAAGTCCTAGTGAGGGACCCTGTGTCAAAAATCAAGGTAGAGCACTCTTGAGGAACGAAAGGGCTGTCCTCTGTCCTCACGCGCACATTCTCACCTGTGCACACACACACACACACACACCCAAAGCATTTTAGCACACATGAGAACTGCTGCTCTGTGCTTGCAGCCTGGTTTCTAGGCACAGCCCATGCACTGTTTACAGGTTTTATGAGGCTTTTGTTTCGCACACAGCAGACACGCTGCCGTCTTCCTGCTCACCTGTCCTGGCCAATGAGGAAGTAGTCTCTGTTCACAGTTCTGATGGACATCACCTCATCCGGGTGGCATCTGAACATCTTCTGCACAGTCTGCATCTTCTCCTGGCTGTTTATACCAACCTCTACAGCCGCACTGCTGGGAGAGACACAAAGTAACTAAACTGATAGAGATAGCAACTTCAGACGAAAACAGACTCCTACTTTAAATTAGAAATGAAATGGGAGATTTCATTGACCCACATTTTAAAGACTGTCTAATTCACATCATGAATCTCATTTGAATTCTTTCTATTTTAAAAAGTAACTGAGACTCTGGATCTGGTTCATCAGTGATTGAAAATACTCTGTTCAGCTTGAAATTCAGTTCAGAATTTTCATTTGGGTTGGAGTCTTGAGTCCAGAAATCACTATATTTTCTGATACTTCTGGTACATGATGTCTGAAGAGAAGACAGACAACAGTTTATCTAAGTATTTCTTAAGCTCCACTTTGGCTCTATGAAATTGGATTTCAGGAGTTCTATCTCACCAAGAAAATTAAGTGAGACAAAGTCCTCAACTGAATGTTAGGACGTGGAGATTTATCGCCTGCATGAAGCAACTGTTTCACTGCCGCCTGCCTTCACTGTTCATCAGTGTGTGCTTTTGGAGCCACAGACACTGCTGCAGGTCTGAAGCCCCTGGCTCTTTTTGCCGGACACCCAGGTTTACATTTCTGTGCAGCCTGTTGAGCGACTGACTTGGGCTCATTGACAGACAGGTCTCCTGGTTCGTATACACACCGATCAATTTCGATGGAGCCTCGCTGTTGATGGTCTTTGTAATAGGAAAGACTGAGGCCCTTCCCCCCACTCCCAGACAGGATGAAGAGCCGCTTTTTCCAGGAGGTCTAAAAAATGAAAAGGTTTTGCAGTTCAGCTAAGCTCAGAAGAGCAAGGACTTTTTTTCAAGTGCTCACGAGGCTGGTGGGAGGCTTAAGCCGTGGTGAGTACTTACTGCGGAGAAGAAAAGCTGAGGAGGCGGTGACTTAATGAAGTAACCTTGTTTATGGATTTCATTTTCATAATCTGATGTAAATTGTTTGCCTAATAAAGGAAAGTGAAGAGGATTCAGTTTGTTCTCATAAATTTCAGAAAAGAAGGGCTTCATTTGGAAAACATTGTTTATCTTCAGATTTTTTAGCTTTTCAAAAGAACATGCACAATCAGCCCCACCCCCGCCCAGTAGAAGACCAAACGGAGAACAATTAGTGCCATCTGGCTGTGTTCAGGGCAGCTTCCTCCAACTCACACCAGCTGCCTGGCTCTGAGTCTGTAGTTTGGCCCTGGGTCTCTAGGTGTGAGCAAAGGTTTGTTCCCATTCCCCTTGTGGGAATAATATAATAGATGCAGCACCGTTTGGGTTTGGCATAGCAACCATGCAGAACCACTTGCTGGTGCAAATGGGGCAGGAGGGGCACTTTTTTCTCTGCTGGGAGAGAAGGTGGACTGGCCACAGAGACACAGGAAATCACAGACAGCAGCCTCATCGGCATGAACAGACTTAGCAGCCGTAACATACAATGCTGACTCCATTTTCACTTACCAGGCTTAAGCCTTTGGTAAGGTCTGCCTTTTCTGAACCCAAAGGGAAACCAGACCTACGGCCTGTGATGTGAAAGTAAAAAGAAGCCCTTTAACACAGTTTTAACAGCACTGTTTTCCTAGATGAGAGCAGTCTGCATTTCATTTAGACAGTTTGGAAACTACAACAGTAATTAATTGGTTGATTAATAACCGTCTTTAATACCAGGAATTGCAACAAAACAATTAATATTTAGGAACTTTTGCCATCCCAGTTTCCACAGCAGATATTGCTGCTTTTATTTGTTAAACTCTCTGTATATGTTGACACACACACACAGACACACAGACACATACACACACACACACACACACACACACACACACACACACACACTTCTTCTTACATACCAGCATACCAGGACTTTGATCTGAGCATGTGTGTGCCACAGAGGATTAACAATGATTAGAACGCCCACATAGGGCCAGAAAAAGTGCTTGCTTCCTGCAGCCATGCTGGGAAAGGTTGTAATTTATGGGGCATTAGATAGAATACTCAGGAAAACCTTGCCTCAGTGTGAGAAATAATTAGCCCTAGATTCGAGAACTATGCCAGACCCACCTAACAGGTCTTAGAAGACTGAGTTGTTCCCAAGAACCGTGATTTATAAAACTATCCAGTACCCACTAAGGTAAAATTTGACAAGTACAGTTACCAGCCAAGAGCAACCAGGCTTGCAGAAGAAAGCAATTGTCACAGGAAATGCAGAGAATAATTAATCTATCAAGAGAGACCTTGAAATGGCACAGTTGTTAGATACCCCAGAGATTAACTGTTCTTGTCAAAATCTTGGGAGATGAATGGGATAGAAAAGACCCAAAGTGAACTTTTAGAGATGAAAGCAATGACTTTGGGGGGGGGCACAGAGGCTTCCATCAGCTGTGAGGCTGTGAGAGAAGACTGAACACTAGAGAAGAAAATTACAGTGCACCCAAAGGACTATTTAATGAGCACTATTAAAATAAACAAAGTAAAAAATGTCCAAAGCATGAAAAAAAACACCCATGCATCAGGAGCTGCCTAAGCTCGTCCAATATGCAAGCAGCTGTGACTGCTTAAAAAGAGGGGAAGAGGCAGAAAAAAATATTTGAAGAAATCATTCTAAAAATTTCACAAGCTTAAAATTATAAGCCCAGACCTAAGCACTTCAATGAAACTCAAGAAACACAAGATACAGAAAAAGAAATACACCCCAAAGTTCCTCAAATGCAAGATGGTCAAAATCAAGTCACAAGAAAGACATCTCAAGAGCAGACAGTGGAGAAAAGACAGCCCATACATAACAAAAATAAGCAGCAAAAGGGCTTTGTTCCTTTTTAAAATTATTTACGTGTATGAATGCCCGGTGCCAGAGAGGGGCAGAAGAGGGCGCTGCAGAACCTGAAACTGGAGTTACAGATGGTTGTGAGCCTCTGCCTGGGTGCCAGCAATCACACCCAGTCCTCCAGAAGCACAATACAGTACTGAGGAAATGCTGCCATTTGAAATGCTAGAAGCAGCGGACACATCTTTTAAATATGCAAGCAATTTGGATACATTTTCAGATATGCAAATTCTGAAGAAATTTCATCCTCAGGGAGGGCCCACTGTTAGAAATGATGCTCAGGGAAACCGTCCAGAATGTATTGAAGACGTGCAGAGCACCAACGTAGAAACTGCAAAGCAAAATGTGTGGGGTGATTTTTCTTATTGTTTAAAGCACTCAATAATTCAGCTAGCTAAACAACAGTGGCAATGCATTGTGTAGATTACAATGAGGTGTGAATAACATGAATTCCGATAACAGAGCTCGGGAAGGAAAATGAGATTACATCTCTGTAATGAGCCTGGATTTTTTGTGGACCAGTACACCATTACTTGGTGTTAGGCTGTTGTGTGTTTAAAATATATATAAACCCTAATGTAATGACTAGAATAATATAGTTTAATAAGCTAATAAGAGAAGTAAAGTAAAATCATTAAAAATGCTCAATTAATTCAAAAGAAAGCAGAAAAGGTAGTGGTGGGGGCAGGTGGACAAAGTCCAGATGAGGCAAACAGAAAACAACAATATGATTCACTCAAGTCTGAACGCAGCAACAGTCACATAAAATTTAAATAGTCTAAACACCTGAATTAAAATGAAGAAGTTGTCAGATTGGACAAAACAGCAAGATCCAACTCTACGTTGCATATAAAAAACACACTATAAGTATAAAAAGCACAAGTTAAAAAAAAAGCTGCATGTCTTAGTTGGGGTCTCTATTGCTGTGATAAAACACCATGAGCAAAAGCAGCCCAGGGAGCACAGGGTCTAGTCAGCTCACCCTTCAGCCTACAGTCCACCACAGAGGGGAGTCCGGGTAAGAACTCAAGACAGGAACCTGGAGGCAGAAACTGAGGCAGAAGCCATGGAGGGGTGCTGCTTACAGGCTTGCTCCTCTTCTTTCTTATATAACTCAAGGCTGTCTGCCCAGGGCTGGCACCACCCTCCCACATCAGTCATTAGTCAAGAAAATGCCTCTAACAGACAAAGCTGGTCACAATTGAGTTTCTCTTCTCAGACAACTCTAGCTTCAGTCAAGTAGAAAAAACCAAAACAGAACAAACAAACAAAACCCTAGGCAGAACAATACACTGTATCAACACCAGTCACTAGAAAGGAGAGTAGCTACAGTATGTTGTTTTTAAAATCAAATTCTAATCATTTGACTTACCAATGAAGATTCAGGAGCCAGATGCTGGGGTATAAACCTGCTAGCTCAGAGAGGCAGAGAAAGTACCCAGCTGACCTTACTATTCAGTCAACATCCCAGGAGGAAGAAGCCCCTTCTCCTCTTCCACAGCTTTAAAAACCCTGCAAACTCAATGTCCCTCCTTTCTACTTCCTGTGTGTCACTATAGCCACCCTCCAGACTTCCTCTCATTCTCTATAGCTTTTTTCCATGTTCTCTTCCTGTCAACTAGTTGCTTGCTCTGCCTCTTGATCTAGGGTTAACTTTATTTAGCTCTTGCTTACAGAAAGCTCTTGCATTAAAGGTGTGTGCTAGGCCTAAGCCACATCACAACAAGAAACAGGTTTTCCAGTTCACAATCTTGGGGTTCACAATGTGATCAAACATTCTGACACAACAGTAGATCATGTAGATTCCAAAGCAAGAAAATAGTACCAGGAATTAAAGAAAGTCATTTTATAATAATGTAGTCATTGTATAATAATGTTAATTAACCCTAAGTTGATATAGTAATACTAAACATATATGTACTCAATAACGGAGCTTCAAAGCATGAAGCAAAACCAAATAGAATTACGAGAAAAAAAAATAGACATTCAAAATTACAGTTACAGACTTATAAAACCTTCTCTTAACAACAGAGAGAACAAATAAGGGCGCAGCAGGCTTGCACAACCTTGTCAACAGCGTAACCTGGTCGCTATTTATAGAGCACAACAGAAGATGGCTGGTCCTGTTCTCCTGTGTACAGTGTAAATCTTTGTGACAGAGACTTTGGTCAACTAGAAAGAGAAGGAAGCACCTTCAACCAAACCCAGACTATCTGCTTTTGTTTTTAGATCTCTAACACCAGACTTGAGACCTTTTCTCTAAGCTCAGGTACAGGAGAAAAATATTCATGTTCACCCTGTGCAAGGTAATTGAGCAAGAAAAAGAAAGAATGCTTCTGAGTTGGAAAGAAGAAAGACTATCCCTCTTCAGAGATAACATGATACTATGGGTAGAAAACCCTTAAACAGTCCATAGAAAACTATAAGAACTAACAGAGAAATTCCCCAGTGTGTAAAGTCAGTATACAGCATTTTCCATAGTTCTATGAAGTAGCAACAAATAATCTGGAACTGAAAATAAAAAAGTACTTTTGGGCTGGAGAGATGACTCACTGGTTAAGAGCATTGCCTGCTCTTCCAGAGTTCAATTCCCAGCGACCATATTTGGCTCCCAACCACTTATAATGTGATCTGATGCCCTCTTCTGGCATGCAGGTGTACATGCAGATAAAGCACTCATATACATAAAAATAAATAAATAAATGTTAAAAAGTACTTTCATTTATTATAGACCCTCTCCAAAATGCATAAACATAAGTTTAACCAGTGTGGTGAAAACTAATATACTGAAAATTACTAGAAGAATTTAAAGACAACATAAACAGATGGAAATACATCCCAGGTTCATGGATTGAAAGACAGTATTTCTAATAATGACATATTAGAAATTACCCAGAGCAATCTACAGATTTGATGCAATCTTTATTTGAATTCTAATGTGTTTTTTATGAATATAAAAGCTCATTCATATTAACATGCAGATTTATTGATAGCCTTGAATAGCCAAAACAGTTCTGAAAAGCAGAGTATTCAGATATTCCTTAAAACATAACAAACAAACAAACAAACAAACAAACAGAACTTACAGAGCTGGGGAGATGGCTCAGCAGTTGGGAGCACTTGTTGCTCTACAGAGGACCCAGTTTCGGTTCCCAGCACCTCATGGTAGCTCACACCTGGCTGTAACTCCAGTTTCAGGGGATTCAATATTCAATTTCTGGTCTCCCTGTGTCCCAGGCATGCACCAGGTGCACATACAGGTACTAGGTATCCACATGGTGCATAGACACACATGCCGGAAAAACACTCATACGCATAAAAGAAAAATAAGTGTATTTAAAAAAGAAATCCTACTACAAACCCGTAAGAAGCAAGAGCATGGTATAAAGACAGATGCACAAACCAAGGTAATAAATGGAGAATCCAGAAATAAATCCACACATCAGTGGCCAAGGCCATTGCACAGACAGAGTACAATGCCCCTTAAACGATCCTTCTAGAATCACTGTGCCCTTGAGAGGTGGAGGCAGGAGAACTACGTTATCTTCTGCTTTTTAGCAAGGTTGAGGCTAGCCTGGACTACATGAGGCACTGTCACCAAAGAAAAAGAAAGAAGAAAGAACCCAGACAGAGTGTTCATCCTTCACGATTTTATTATGGGAAATTCTAGATGACAAATGAGCTTTCTACTGAGAGATAGGATATCTGTGGCTGCCTAGGAAAGGCTGTTAGAGGGAGGCTGCCTGCTCATGCTCACTCTCTGCCCTGAGGCCATAGTCTATGGCATTTGTTATTTATTTCCTTACTTACTTTTTCGAATGTGACAATATATGGAATTTAGCCTAAGACATGAATGTAGGCATGTGCTCTGCTCCTGCCTACAGTCTCACCTACAGTACCCCTACACCACAAATGGTATCTAATTGTAGATTTAAGCACAGAAACTTGCTGCATGTCAATTATGCCTCTAAAAATTTCCAAAACATCAAATACATTTGAAAAAAGTTAAATACATTTCTACAATATGACCCAGCCACTTCTACTCCTAGGTGAAAAAGAGAAAACACCTGATGCCAACCTCTGGGGTCAACACGTACACGTATGTGTGTTCAAATATGCTCATATCTGCATGAACATGTACATACACCATACATGCACATATATACTATATGTATATCTACATATATATAAATGTTCACCTAATCTTTTTTATAATAGACAAAGACAGGAAAAGCCCTAATGTTTCCAGAAGGTGAATCATCCAGTTATATAATGGCTATTTCCATTATATACGTGAAGACACACCTATATGATGGAAAAGAAAAAAAGGACCAAGACAGCATGGATGAATCTCAATTATGGATTAGAGAATTGTGCTGAGTAGAAGAATTCAGCTGAGAGTGTCTACCGTGTGCTCACATTTACGCAAACAGAGTGATAGGAAACCAGGCAATGGGAAAAGGACTGCGTGTTGGAGGGAAGGATTATGACGGAACAGCAACACTTTTCCTGGTTGGGATGAAGCTGGTCCATGGACACCTATCAGACTGCCCATCTCAGACAGATGCACCATAAACTAGAGCAAAGCTGTTGAATGCTGTGGGCAGTAGAGAATGCATGTTCATGCCAAGCCCATGGTCGAAATGCTGCTAGTCCTAGGAGGTCGAGGTGTGGCCTCCTCGGCCTCTTCTCCCTCCTCCCATGTGGCACATTTCTGCTCCGAGTCATCCCACCTCTGTCCCACTCCAGTGCTCTGGCTCTTGCCATCTCTTCGGACGCGCTATTTCCTTTCCTTGGAGGAAAATCTTGCCTGGAACTAGAAGTCCAGCCACCCCACCCCTAGGGCTAGTGACATCATCAGCCTTAGAAGAGAACCCCACCATAGTTCCTAACTACATTCTAAAACTTGTCCTTAAACCAGCAGATAGGAGTAACTCCCTCACCCTTCACCAGAGAAGCTTTTTACAGCAAAGGGAGAGCATTACAGAAAACCACAACTGGATAGGGTAGAGATCAATGGCTTGAGGCAACCTCAGCCTCAGTAAACATCTACAACACACTTCCTACACCTAAGGCCCAGGAAGCTTCCAGGGAAAGGGGCAGAAAGACTGTAAGATCCAGAAGGACCAGGAAGTCCACTGTGAAACTGTCTCTTAGAAATGGCGGCCTAAGTAAGGTCTGACCAATGTTAGTATCAATAGACACACTAATCCAAGGGGGACATCTCATGGACTGACACCCCAGTCCAAAGGACCACAGGTAACTGATGGTGCTGAGAGAGGGAGAATCAGCCTTTCACAGGATGAGCCCCCAACTGCTAACCCAATAAGTCATCAGCCTGAAGTTAAAAGCACAAAAACAACAAAAATGGACTCAGCCAGTTGGATTTATGTCTGTGCATGTTTCTCTTTCTCTCTGTGTGTGTATCTATGTCACAAGGACCCAAGCCTGCATCCTCTGCACCCATATACATCCTGTGTGGTGCATCCATAATCTCTGCTGGGGATGGAGAGGCAGAGAACAGCAAATCTCGGAATCTCATTGGTCAGTCAGCAGATCCAATCACTGGGCTGCAGGGTCACTGAAAGACCCTGATTTAAACCATCAGACAGAAAACGATCAAGGAAGACACTCAACACTGACCTCTGGACTCCACCTTCTGACATGCACATGAACACATAGCCACGTGAACATGTGTATACACCACACACACACACACACACACACACACACACACACACAGATACAATTTAAAAAGTAAGCCCTGCACGTACCCAAGATTCAGCTCAAATGATTTTTCCAAGGGCTTCTCTGGATTCCCATGACTACCTCAGCCTTTCCTTTGGGTTCCATGGTGCTTCGTTCCTGTTTCATGATTGCACTGTGGCCTGATTATCCGTGCTGAGCTAAAGTGCTTGATACAGCTGCTTGCCTGTGCATTGCTCAACCTCTCAGTGAGACTGTACGTTCCTTGAGCACACAGCTCTTCTGAATTAAGCTGCATATAGCTACAACACGAAGCACACAGACTTGTAGCAACAGCTTTAACATTTTATCATTAACTGGATGATGTTTCGAAGTTGCTCCACCCTAAACTCCACTGCGCTGACCCGTGTCTGTTATGAATCATGGGAGTGTATAAGCAAGGATGTGCTCAGTGTGCACTGAGCTGCCCTCCCAATAACAATTTAGGCAGTTTCTATAAGCCAGAACTTTGTGTAAAATTAAAGGACTATATTCCAGTCTTTGCTGGGCTGTAATTTATAGGAGGCACTGTCTCCAAGCCACAAATGGAACACCAAGCCAATGAAAACCAGGAAATGCTCAATTTCTGGACAGTTCAGCTGTTATAAATAATTAAGTGAATCCAGCAGCTTCTACTCTCACTGGACCAAGAGTCTGTCTCAGAATGATACCTGTTGTCCCTACAAAGGGAAACTAATGTCTGTGCCCTGGGCAGCCTGGTGAGCCGGGCTCATCATTGTTGACGGAAAGCTGTTTCCTCTGACCCTGCGCCCTTAGGTACCTGAGCTCTTTGGAGGTCTGGCTTCCATCCGGCTGGCTCTTCTCGCCTGTCAGAAAGAGGGGTTAGGCAACAGTTAGCGTCCAGACTTCAGCAGCCACACTGACTAGCTTTGGCATCAGCAAGTCTGGCTCTTGCCTTTTCTGTCTTGATTATGTGTACAGAGCCCAGAGGTCAACCTGGGGTGTGGTCCCTCAGGTGACATCGTCTTCCTTTTTGAGACAGGGCCTCTCATTGGTGAGCTCAGCTGGCTGTCCAGCAGGGCCCAGGAATCTGCTTTCTCTGCCTCTCCTGCTGCTATTACGAGCGTGTGCCATCACATCCTGCTTTCAATGTGGCTCTGTGGAGGGCACTCAGGTCCTCATGCTTGAACAGCCAACACTTTGCCAGCTCAGCCTTCTCTCCAACACCTCTAGGCCTTCCTTAATAGAAGCTGTGAAGAAGACTGCAAGGGTAGTTAGTCCTCGCTGTCCCCGCCGCACATGGCTGTAAGAGGAGACCCTCAGGGAGGCAGGGACACCAAAGAGGTCAGAGCGACACAGAGAGCAGATGGTGTGCCCAGTGCAGCTGAGGAGCACTGTAGGTTGGGAGGCAGCCGTGATGAGCTTCACACCCGGCTTGCTTTCTCCAGAAGGGGCCTCATGAACAAGGGAGCCCCGTTCTTCAAGCGCCTCCAATACCTCTGTGGCCATTCTCAAGATTTTCAATGCTGAGGCCCAAGACTGACCCAGGGAAGCCTTGTCCTATAAAGCTGTCATTCATGACCATCTAGGGCAGTGGTTCTCGACCTGTGGGTCGAGACACTGTGGGGGTCACACACCAGATCTCCTGCATATCAGACATTTACATTATGATTCATGACAGCAGCAACACAGTTATGAAGAAGCGATGTACTTTATGAAGTAGAAGCTTTATGGCTGCGGATCAGCATGAGGAACTGCACTGAAGGGTCACAACATTAAGAATGCTGAAAACCATTGCTCTGGGCGATGGAGAGGTGGGAGGGACTTCCACAGGGTGATGGCTGCAGCATTGATGGGGTCTTGAGGACTAGGACTGTGTCCATGGCCAATTCTACCTTGAATCAATAAAACCCCAAATGGAAGGCCCTGAAAAAAGAAGCACCTGGCAGCCTGGGGCTATCAGGAAAGAAGGGGAGGGCTGTTTCCTACTGTCCTGGTGTGACGACTGCTCCCCTCCTGCCCTGTGTCTGGTGTGACTGCTCCCCTCCTG